CCCGGCGCGTCTCAAGCACCGAGATTGATCAACCACAAACGACTCCAAAAACTGAAACAGCAACTAATTTCAATCTACCTGGAACTGGTTGATCCTAACGATAACAATGTGTGTTAAAAAAGTGAGTTTGTTTGTGTTGGAGTTCAAATTATCTTCACGTTTGACTTTTGACTGGGACGACTCATCCCGTATGCATACGGCACCCCTCAACAATGCCAAACATCAAAGCCGGTTCTCTCGAAGTATAAGAGTGAGAGAGCACACACACATGCGGTCGAGTAACATCTCATAGCGATGTCAATCTCAACTCTTGTGATAATCGCTTGTAAGTTACTGTTTATGCTTACATTGGTCTTTTTTCAACGAAATTTCTTTATAATTTCTAATACCATAAACTACCGCACTTTCTGTCATCGTGAGATCGCTTTTTTGGGTCAAAACGGTTGCGAATTGCCACCTCCACTTCTAAAATATCCGTTAGAGTAGTAGTTATAGAGATTGAATCCCGGGCTAGTGCATGCTTATATCCCCATAAGGCTATGATCGACTAAAATGGGCCGAATTTGGTTAATATACTATGTCACCCATCCAAAATGCTACCAAAGAGCTTGTATCTCTCAAATGCTACATAGATGTCGGATGTTCTGCTTATTTTGATGGTGTATCTTCATAAGCCTTTTCAGTGTTGAGTCAAAGCAGTGTCGTGCTGTCGACATGCGTTTATACTCATCCAAATGGTTACTCATTACGGTGGTTGGTTCTTGGTGAGAATGTACTGTTCAAGCTTGAAAACTCTAATATCTCCGCAAATGAGTATACTGGTGTCGGCTTTGGAGAGGCCACGGTAAGTTGGTATCCAGTTCATGNATGCCTACATTGGTCTTTTTTCAACGAAATTTCTTTATGAGGTACTTCTAATACCATAAACTACCGATGCCACCCTCTGTCATCGTGAGATCGCTTTTTTGGGTCAAAACGGTTGCGAATTGCCACCTCCACTTCTAAAATATCCNTCTAACATCTTCAATAATTCATTTCATGTTTGTGATTGTGTAGTTGGATAACAACATGGCTACTTACAGGGTAACGACATGGATCGGATCATTGTACAGCTTAATAACAGCGGTGTCAGTGTGGTGAGTGAGTACCAGAAGTGGTGAAAATTCTCTGACAAATTTTCGTTCCATTCTTTGTTTGGAATTTATAGCGATTGATGCTCAAATGATCCCTCTTCTTCACTCCAAGCTTTCACCTGAGCCTATAGCCCTTTTGTGAACTCTGTATAGAGATTGGATTTGCTAAGCAGACTCGTGCAAGTCTATTGGGTACTAATAGAAAAGAACAGCCTAAGGAGGTTGTCAGAATCGGCGCCCGAGTTAGCTCTTCCAAGACGCCTTTTCGTTTCTTCTTCTTCTTCTTTTTCTGCTTCTTCATTTCTTCATCAAAACAAGGAAAAAGCCATTTCTTGAACATACAAAGAGTCAGCCGTACTGCTACTATAATGCATTTCTACCTCAGTCATGATTCGATTACAGTTCGAACTTTCCTCTTATCTTATGGATTCAACGCCACACTCTTGCAATGACGGTTCGCTTATAACTCTGGACAGGCGGTATAAGTAAGTCGTTCTTTCCCTTTACCCAAAGCTTGCAAATACACAGGGCTCTTATTCGAGGATTTCTGACAAAATATTGATTCCATGCCTCTCCACATGATGGACATTCCCACCATATTATTCCGCATTCGTATACAATCGAATATCCATACTAAACGATAAATGTTGAAGCCATCCTATAAACCCCGTTGAGCAATACCACAGATTATGTTCCAGCTCGGGACGTAGTAGTTTTCGTGAAATAGTTTTCTGAGACCCTTGTTGCCTATAAATTGAATTTTGGGGTTGATGAAAGAACACATTAAAGTGCTTCCCTCTACGATTAGGCCTACTAACTTCACAACCTCTTCCTACTATTCACTTCTACCGCAGAAGGAAGGAGGGCTTGAAGGGTGTAGAAAAGTATTCTAACTGTGGTAGAGGACGACCTCCTAGCAATTCTGACCCCTTCCTGCTTCGTGAACTTAACAGAAAACTTTATTTTATGACCTGAAAAAAGATTCATACTACAAAAAGGCTAAAATGTTTTAGAAATCGCAAGATTCAAGCTGACTTTTCACGACCGATCATCACAAACTCGTCCAACTTGAACGCTTGTCAAACTTGGAACGTTGGTTTCTAACATTTTTCTGCCTATCATTGCTCTGAGCTCCGATAGTTGATTTCTGTGAACCCTCACAAGTCCGATGGTAGTAAAAGTAGGGATTAAAGTCGGGTAACAACGCCTCCACAGGCAACCCAGCCTCCAAAGAAAGTGGCATGAGGAGCTTCAAAGTGACAGATACACAAGGTGACCTCGTGCATTCCCTGGAACTAGCTGTAGAGGAGCAGCCCTCTGATTAGTGGCTTAAAATATGCTTCCGCCTGCATATCACTATTTAAAATCTAAGTTTCCATTACTAACAAGTAGTTGAGTTGAAAGGGCACTAACACGTGATTTTCTTCCGGTACAGAATTTTTGCAGTTCATTACTGCACCAACCAAGATTGGGGATGGGGCTTACTACGTCAATTCAACCAACTCTAACAGCCTTCAGGTAGGTCTGCCTCAAAAAATTGATTGACATCTCCAAAAATGAAAATAGGAGAATTTCAGGTTTGTAATGTAGCAGAAGAATGCGACGTATTGAAGATGATGAATGCGACAATCTCCCCCAGTCCGGTGCCTGAGCATCCAGAACAAAGGCCGTTCAGGGAACCTCAGGCGGTAATGTAGATTGAATATTGTAGACCGATCAGAGTCACTGAAGCTTGTATTCCCAAAATTGGCTGGCTAGCTGTGGACTTGTGTGAGAAAGCAAGTACATGGCGCACTCTAGACAAAGCGACAGAGCGAGGCAGCGTTTTGTATAGTCTACTAGACTTTTGTTACAATTAAGTGAAGAATAATCAAAATGTTCAGGTAGCTTCTTCATCTGGACTAACCCCATCTTTTCCTCGAACTACCTATCCGGCAATTTTACCCTTAGAGCCCTTACAACTGTTGATTTTTGAGCGAATGCTAAGGAAGAAGCGACAATCAGGGTAACTTTGACTGTTGCTATTGAAAGGAACTCACCAAGGGGTTTATTTGTGATTCCAGATACACACCAACTAACAACATATACGGGTATGACTACAATTCCTCCCCAACGTCACCATCTGAAGCGGCAAGGCTCGTTCTGAATCCGAACTATGCCTACCTGAACGATGCTTTATCCGAAGGCTATGCCCGGAATTATGTTCAAGCAGAGACACAATACAGCCAAAGTGGTCAAGTTGGTGGTCAGGCTGGTGGTAAGCGTCTTTGTATATTCATGGTTTCCAATCGTTCGAGTTACGGTGAGTGGGTGGCAGGAGCTACGTAGACATCCCTGTCTTTCACCGTATTTCTTTCCTCAGCATCATTCGGGACCAAATAATTCCTCCAGTAATATCAACCAGTGATGGGGGTAGTGGAGATACAAGGGTGCCAGAAGAGATTCCCTTCAGGATACAAAGCATACGATGCCGTTCCGAATCAGTCAGCAATTCTGAGTAACGAACAGCAGAATGCCATCAACTACCAACAAATTCGACAAGTAAGTAGAATCTCTTCGATTGCAAGATACCAGTTATTCCGATACTTACTTTATCAATATTTTCAACCAATTTTTTACATTTGTTTCCTTAGATTATAACTTTCTTTTTTTATATCTTTTTGGTCATTTTGATGACAAATTTCACTTTTGTTTACCCCTCTATTATGGTGGAATTGAAAATTTTTGGAGAGCTTTTCGATGTATAATAGTATGCTCCATAAAAACATGGTTCTTCCTAAAGGAAAAAAATGCATTGGTCTCCAGTATAAGTGCTGATGATGGTTAAACTGGCTCTGAAAATGAAAATGACGTTTAGAACAATCCGGGAAGCTTCAACACACCAGCGTACTCAGGCAATTATTATGGAGGAGCTTTAGCAGGTGATTATCATATTTTCCCTTCGGCTATTTCTGAGTACATTCTTATGCTGCATCCTTTTAAAATTACCACGAGTTGTTTTTGAGGATTTCGAGCTTTAAAAGAACCCATTGAGCATCTGAGTTCTTAAGTCATTGGGGGTTTCTGCTTTCACTCGCTTGCCTTGGATAATGTTCTAGAATTTTTGACAGCTTCTGGCTAAGTTGAAATCCCAGAAGGTTTCAAATTTTTCTTCCAGACGCTCCTCAAAGGGCTGTGTCGCAAGGTGGTTTCCAGCAGCCGGCTTCGAACAATTTTGTTAGACCGGTAGGTGGTAGCTCTCTCAAGCTGCAATCGGCTATGAATATCAGATTCGTCCAAGTCAATCTTCGTTTTAGTCCTACGCATCTGCTACCTCACTTGGCTACTCATCATCGTCACCTGCTCCCTATCAGAGTGTTGTTGATTTGAAAACGACTAGACTTCGTGACCCTACAGCTCAGGCTTATTACTCAGATGTTTCTTCTACTGGAAACGCTCAAGCGATGTATTACCCGTACAGGTATCTTAGTGGTGTTTCAAGAGAGGCAGTTCATAGTATTAAGACAAAAACTTTGTTGTTAACTATAATAAAAATTAATTGAAATAAATTAAGAATTGAAGATAAAATCGAAAACCCCGTTTATAGAACCCCTACCACTGTTCAGTCGTATAGCAATAACGCTCAATCGTACGGCATTAGCGCCCAGTCGTTGGCCGGCAACGTTGTCTACAGGGATGCTGCGACCAGTTTGTTGATCATTATCTCCTTGAAAAATATTTTATTAAAAGCTTATTTTTAGTGAGACATGTAGGCATACCACAGTTGTTTGTTGGTTACAGATAGTAGCTTAGAATAACTAGTCGAAAGCTTCTTTATTCAAAAAATGTAGAAGTTACAGATCCGTGCTCATTAGAAGACCCTTACTGGTGTGATTACTATGTAAGGATATATATGAATAGCAGTATCACTCTGAGTGGATATGGTAAACAGGTATCGATTCAAGCCTTCATCTATAGACTGCTTCGAATAGGGGGTTCTCAAATGAAAGTCACAGGCAGCCCAGCAGTTTCCCCATGAATTTCGCATTTTATCAAATCCTGCACAGGCAGGAATTCAGTAGGTGAAATGAGGATTCTAGGCTCGTTATGAGATTTCACAAATACCGTTTTCTGGTGGTTAACACTTAAGATTTGAGGATGGGAATAGGAGAAGCCTGATCTGAAGTTACACTCCCGGTAGTACTAGCAAAAGTACCAGTCCAGCAGTGATAAATGAACTTACAATTAGCCTACCATTTGCGAAAGATCATTGAAGAAATTTGAGGAAGTTGAACTCTGCGAATCTCTTTAAATTTGACCTTCTCTTGACAACTAGTTACCCTGTTGATCTTTGATTTCTCGCTAATTTTTAATCGGCTTTTTTNTTTTTTCAGACGGTCTGCCAATCTTTGAAGCAATCGCTGCAAGACTCCTATAACGGCTGTTGCCATGCGGTGCAAGCTGCTGGCTGCGTTTGATCCCAACCCTTTCACTGGTCTCTCCTTCTTGTATCACATGTATTATATTCGATTTGAAATGAAGATTATTCTTAAATCAAAAAAGAATGCCGCTTGGAAATTCTTTGTGAGTGTTGCACATTCCACGGTTTGGTAGCGACTTTGCCTTCGAGCGTTAGCATATCGCATGGTAAGGATCTGAGCCACAGAACTGCTCGGAAGAACTGGGAGTCTACTCGAATGAGAAGGCAGATCTATGAAACTGCATTTTTATAGCTTGAAACTTTCCTGACTGACCAAACATTGAGTTGAAGGTTAGAAGTCTTTCCTTTCCGCCTTTATTAGCTTCTGTTTATTACCAATCAACCTTCTGATTTCTCTACCCCTTCTGAATAAACGCAAAAATTGAGGTAATCTTCTGTGAGCTCGTGAATTTGAAAGTCAAACAAGATGATATGATTAACACTGATTGCCAATGACGCCGTCAATTTAACAGCCTTATCATTCTATTAATTTATCAATTTGTTGCACACAAGGTGTGACGTTAGAGCTCTAGCGATTTCGTTCACCGGAGCTCTAAAAGTGTAGTGTACACCACTCATGCTCACCCTATATATCCGACTAGCCTACAGTATTCCATCGATTCTTCTCTACTTTCTTGTTATAATGGCAGTATACAGAGAAAAAAGACGTTTCCACAAGTCATTCTACTCTTTACTGATTGTCCAAGCAGTAACCGTATGTTTACCATTGTTTATTTTGACATTGATTAATTATTTATTTTGATATTATTTTGGATCAAGCACATTAAAGATGTGAAAAAGAAGAAAATTAGCAAGGTTATCATTATTTTGGTCACACATTTATAAATATACATAAAATAAGTGACGACCACCTAAACATCACTAAATAAAGGGCTATTCGAACAGAGAGAGACTGAAAAATAGGGTAACTGCAATAATCTACTTTTATAGAATTTTTTCGTATTTGTTAACGGCTTCTATGTTGTCTACCTGGCTAACGAAACAAATGAACAAAGTTGGTGGAAAGTTATTTACACGGATGCGCCGCAGCTTTTAATGCGAATTGTGAGTTTACAACAATTTCTCCTGAAAGGTAGAAATCGGATCATTAAACTCAAGGGACAGATCTGTATTCGAAACCTTCAAGATTTTGAATGGAAGCTGAGGGTATGGCGCATTCTTGGAAGGGGTCGACTATCGATTTTCATTGGGTCCATTCAATTCAAGACATCTCTTTCAGAGCACTTGTCTTGGAGCACACTTTCTCTTTGTGCAGACCTATACGACATTTTTTATTTCGTTGAATCGAATGACTGCTATATTATGGCCACTGAAGCATGAACTGGTAAGCAAGAAGGATTCTAAAGTGTGAAGTGAAGATGTTGGAACCATCCCAGATAAAATAGTAATAAGATCACAGTGAAGTTTCTTTCAGCGACGATGGAGGTAAGGCAGTTAGTTACCTTGCAGTAATTGAAACCCTGGGATAACTGCTCATTCTTTGACATCACCGAATCATTATTTACTCTACTAATCTGGCTGATGACTCTTCGACATTGTCAACAACAAAAACGTCACAACTAGTCTCTATATTTGGTTTACAAAACGATATGTAGAGGAGGGTATCGTCTGATGGATGTGAAACACCCATGGGGATGAGTATTTTTTGAAGGTGAAGACTTTTTACTGAGTGAAGACTTTTCACTGAGTCACTGAGTGCAGATACTTCGGTGGTTCTCGCCGTTTCTGAAGAATTTTACTGAAACTGAACTGGCAGAAAGTTTGCACTTTTGGATAGGGAAAGAGAGAATTCAGTTGACCCAAAAATCATAAATCTTCTTGGTTTTTCAGATGTGGACCTACGGCTTACCAGTTTCTGTACTAATTACCTACCTGACACCATTTTACGTGACGTTTCCCTACCTGACTCATCCGATCGCATTTGTTTATTCCCCTGAAACAAAATGCTACATTGCCACATCTGAAACGGTAACTACTCGTTTTTTTAGTTGTTTGTTGCTGTTCTAAAGCTATTTATACCATGGACGCTACCAAAATGAACTAGATCTACAGGGAAAATGTTTAGTTTGCCCGTACCCTCATACCGAATAATATGTTCCCTACAGGCTGTGCTGTCAAATTAGGGGCCCAAAAACATGCATAGGCTTAACCTGAGTTTTACACTGACAACTTAACACTTCCGTGACATTTTTATGATCAATTTCAACTGACAAATTGGAACAATCGAAATCCGCAAGCGCAATAATTGAACAGATAGCTCTCTTTGAAACGTCAATGTGAATAAAGTGAAGATTTCAGGACAGGAATCGAGTATGGCTGCAAATATTCTCCTTCAGTTCGGTTTTCATCGTAATTTCGTTTGTTATTCATACGATTTCGATTATAACAGTCTGCAAACACGTACAACGAACTATGTACGGTAACACTGATCGTCGCTTGCTTGCTTTGGCTCTGTCGAATTTCCTGATCGAAATCAACTTCTTTGCTTTACTGGTAAGTATATTTCATTTTGAAGGCTCTAGTGAATACTTTGGGATGGGTTAGAATTAGAACACACCTAGGGCACGTTACTTTTGCACGTTGGACTTTTTTCTTGTGGTAGTAGTGGTTTGAAAGCAAAATGGAGAGGTGGTTACTCGAGGAAGTGGAGATCCTCTAAACTCCTTACTGGACCTCCTTGAAACGGGCCCATTTTCATTTGGGGCAAAGAAATTCTTTCAAATTCCGGAAGTTCAAGAAGTACTGCTGATTTCAGGCCCTCATTTTTGTATTTCGTTATGGTCTGGAATCCTTTAACAGTCGTGTGATACTCATGCTGATACCGTATGCGTCAGATCTTTATACCTTATCAACACCGTATCTTATCATTATTCTGAACAAACGAGTACGGTCAAGGTCAATGGGCTACTTCGGATGTGAATGTCAGTCATTTACCGTTTCTTTTGTAATTTACATTTTCCTTGACAGCTTTTAAACTGCTCATTATGAATAGATCCTAGCGGCACTAGGGCTCTTGTGGAGCAAACATGCATTCCAGCTGGTAGGACATTGACTCAGATGATGGGAAATCATAAAAGTGATACAAAATATTATTCGCATAGCCAGCTATAGTTACGATAGTTATAGGTATCAATTAGTGATAGTTTCCACATACTAAAAGTTATTCATTTGACGCACCCATCGAACCCACATTTAACTGTAAGTAAATAGCGAAATAAACGAATTCCATGGGTTGCAACGTTTTTACTGATTGTTATAAAAGTCAAGTCGATTTGATTATAACCATAGCGCCCATTAATGTAACCATCAGCATTTCAGGCATGAAATGCTTTGAGAAGACGACTCGCGTTCAAGTTGCTGTTCTTCACCTATCGAAGATATAGTGGTCTTAATATTGTATGAAATATTATTGTTCATTATAAAAAGGATTAATAATTAGTAAGCAACTCAGAGTGAAATTTTTTCCGGATACTTGTGTAATTTGTGCTGTAATTATAATAATATTTCTGAGTGTACCGATAGTGCAGAGGTAAATGATGTTGTGGTATGAAGCGTGGTGTCCCACTGCTAAACATGAACTCATTAGACTTGAGTTACCCTTCTTTTGAAGGAAGCCATGCTAAAGAAACGAAGCCATCAATTGTGATTTTAGTAAGAGTTTCCTGATGAACACATGAACCCTAAACAACTATTTCACTGAAAGTCAGTCATAAGGGAAATGGTACTAGTTTCCTGATCTCCTTGAGGAAAAGAACTGAAGTCCACTTCTTATAAGTGGGAGAATTCCTGCAGAGGCAACGAAACCCTCTCTATGCCCTCGCTAGTTGTGTAGATAACGTGCATAGCTCCAAAAAATACATTTTCCTGAAAAAAGAATGACAAGAGCTTATAAAAATGGTCACTTCCTCAACGTTTCCACCGTACACTCAGCTTTGGACTTACGACGAAACTAAGGAGTCAGCTCATTACTTGCACATTTATATTCTGATTCATCCAAGGAGAAGAGCTAGCAGGCTTCGTTTCACAAATATACGCAGATTCTCGTGCTCATGAATAGATTCAGGTTGCCCAGCTATAACTAACTTCCAAAAAATGGATTGCTCAACATCTAGAGAGACTGTAGTTATTATTTACTTCCCTTGTATAAAACGTGTCGCAAGATTGAGTAAATAGTTGATCCAACTCTGACGTCGTGTTGGACAAAAATTAGAAATTCTTCAAATCTCGGGCTTGAAGGTCAATTGTTTCGACAACACAACAGTTTGGTCGTAACACTTATTCTTAGACTTCAACGATTTCTGGAAATTCATAGGGTTTTGACGGACAGCGCTGATAATTTGTTTACTTACCTCACTTCAGTATGAATTTTTAGAACAATCACAAACCTTCATAGATGGGCCATGCCAGGAATAGAGGAAATTGAAAAAGCTGTTTGTCTGACTGTTTTTGTGGTTTACTAGAATAGAGGATAGCTCATCAGTTACGTCAGCAATGAAAGCCATAATAATCCTTCTCAGTGCTCATTCTCCGAGATACACCTTTCTGTATCCCATTGAACTCAACAGGCCATTTTTGCATTTATTACAATTTCAGAAATGCTACCCGTATTACTGTACATTCGGCTCGCCTACTGTATTCCATCGATTGTTCTCTATGTGGTAGTAATGTTCCTGATATCCAAAGACAGGCAGCGTCTATTTGGCTCCTTTTACTCGTTGCTTATTATACAAGCAGTAACAGTGAGTCCCTCCTACATGGATGTACAACTGTTTCTATTTTCCTCACTCCCTATTGACAAAGTATTTCTGCCTTCAATGTTTTACACCCGAGCTTCACGCTCGGTTTTTGATGCAGGGAAGAAAGCCTCGGAGTTGGCGCAGTGTCCAGATCCCCCGAAACTCAGAACAACCAACAGAGACAAGGGTCAGAGGAATGATTCTTCGTGAAAATCAGAGCAAACGATTCGCTGAACCTGAAAAAAATCTCATTTGATCGATCCCGTGTCTGAGATGCGTCTAGCGTTCGACTTCCTTTCAAGATCGATTGAAGATTTACCTGCGGAATGTATGTGTAGAAGCTAGTGCTTTCATCCTCCTGAATGAGTCAACTCCGGTACCAATCGACGACCTCGGAAGGGTAAGGCTCAGGTTGCTTCCGCGAGTATTGAATAGGCAGCCGATCCCAGGAGCAGGCATGTGTGTGAGCATTTCCCACTATACCAAACCCGCAAAAGACGAGAATAGTGAAAATCAGAAAGCGACCGATTGACTGATTTTGCTGTGAATACTTTTGTCGTTTCCACTTTCTAAAAAGCATATTTTAGAACATGTTTGTTTTTACTACCAACTTCTACGTTATCCAGTTGGCCAGCGAAACGAATGCTCAGACTTGGTGGAGGGGTATATATACCAAAGTACCACAATTTTTTATTCGCATTGTAAGCCTTTCAGTTTTACAAAGTGAGCTCTCACTACAGCTATAACAACCTTTTCAGTGTTCCTGCATGTCTCTGCACTTCTCCTTTGTGCAGGCTTATATAACATTTTTGATTTCTCTCAATCGTATGACCGTTATTGTGTGGCCAGTGAAGGGCGAACGGGTAAGACTAAATATAATTAATACGTTATCGTGTGGAATTCATTCTTAGTTCGATCATAGGAATATATCATATAGAAATAAAATTGCAAGCAAATTCCGAGTCAAGCGAACGGGATTTGGTAACTTCTCCCCGAAAATCGCGTAACGTCTGCCGCACGCGATCGTGTGCAGTCGCGCTTTGAAGTGGAAGGTTGAATCTTCAGTCTAAGATACGGTAGTCGCCGCGGAGTCATTGCCGCTTGCCCCGGAATTCGTGGAGAAGTACTGCCACCCAAATTTACCTCCTATGCCATCATGATTCTCGAAATAGTTACTTCTCTAATATTCTCTTATTTTTACTTTGTTTATGACGCAATTGCACATCAAATACCGCTGGTTAATAAGGTTTTGTCTGGAAGTCAACTTCTCTGATAAATTTTATACTGCTGATTAGAATGAAATCGTAATTAAGGCGCAGCTCTAGGATTTATCGCACAATCAGTATCATCGGTCGGCATCAGCGACAGTAGTGGCTGCTTATTGCCGGAAGTAACCATACAGTAACCAGCATCCGTAAATATAAACTCATGCGCAAATTGAAAATTAGAGGAATGAATTAGGAAAATGCTGTTACCACCTGAATATTATCACCTGAACAGCAATGCGGAATGTGATAGCTATCCAAACGAGTTTCAAAGAAGAGGGAGAACGGCTCCAACCACAGAGCACCAGGCGATTCCGTCATCATGCACCGTCATCATCATCAATCATGAAAATATGTCCTAAAACTCTTTTGATCAGAGCTCTTTCTATTTGGAACACTGGAGACGTCAAACGAACACCAGGAAGGCCGCTAAACCGGAATGGCCAGACTTCCTCATAAAAGCTCTGGGAGAAAGGAGCGGTGTGNCAAGTGAGGTTGACCCACTGAACCACTCTGGCTCGCGGCCCCGACGATTGAAGGACGTTACTGGGGCCCATGGAAATTGTTAATTAACGGAGCGGCAGGTGTTACAGGTAATCCAATGATTCAAGCCCCGAATCAAAACAGCTCTAATAAAAACCATACTACACTCACTTGAAATGCAGTACTGATATGATAACATGGTCAAGCATATTCTATGCATATTCTAACCCCGACTTTATCTATGATAAACATTTAATTTATCAATTAGAGCCAATACGACCCAAAAATTCCACTCTTCAGTAGGTCAGCTTCATTGTAAACTAATTTCTTTATGTCCGGTTCATCAAAAATCAGAGAACGACCTCGTTCTTGTTTTCTCCATGACTGAACAGTTAACTTTCAAGATTTACGTTTGCAGTTATGGAGTGTTGGAGTGCCGCTTGGAACAGTTCTTTGCTATATTTCGCCTTTTATTGCCACATTTCCTTTTCTTACTAACAACGCGTCATGGAACTACAGCTCTATAACAGACAGCTATATAGTTATTAATGATGTGGTAGGTAGTAATGAAATTTGTAATTGTAGAAAAAAAGATGAAGCAGTTTCCTATGAAAATTCTGTATTATGTTTGTTATTCCCAAGAGGACGGAGCCATAAGGAACTCATCAATGGTTCACTTTGTCAGCAAAGCATTCAATACAGTCCCGCCCACAAAAGGACGAGCACTTTTCGACAGGAACGAAACTGTCAGAGAGAAAAATACTGCTCGAAAATTTTACTGGCAGTTAGAAAAACTATATCATGCCGATATTTACTGAAACACCAAATAGAAATCTTCCAGGACGTACCAGCTATATGGTTTCAGTTATACATATTCCTGGCTGTGATGATCCTGGCTTCATCCAGTGTCAGTGTCATCTCTCTTGCATCTTTATGGATACGACGTAAAGGTAGTAGACACAATCGACTCGAACGGAACCTCTTCATGTTAGCGCTAGGCGATTTCCTTGTAGAAATCGTCCTCTTCCTTCTTATGGTGAGCTTTTGAAAATCAAAAAAAGCAAAACTCCCCACAAGGGGAAGCCATTTCAATCTATGATTTAGAACGGTTACTGTGATACATTTGGGAGAGGAGCAAAAGGCGGAACTGGGTGAACAGGGCCCTTTTTACAACAAAATGCTGCTATACAAATAAACAAAAAAGAGTAAATAAACTGAATCTACAACAAAGATCAACGCTTTCCGAATAGCTACGGGAATGCACGTGGTGCTGAATCACCAGAGCCGCCCAGATTCCAAGACGCCCAGGTATGACACAAATGAGGGCCCCATTACCAATCAACTCCAGCTCAAAAAAGCGATGAGCAGTGGAAAAAAGTAGGTTTCCCGCTGAAAAGCCATAGTTTTACTCACGATTTCTTCTCTCCCATTCAATGGACCCTATAGAAACTTAAGGTTTCTTCAAAAAAATTTCGTGAATTACTCTCCAATGTGCAAACTTTATGGAATCAACTGGTCAACGTTGCTGGTGGAACTGATATATAATAATTCCAGACAATTGTGTACAAGGATCAGATTATTGTCGACCATGATGAGACTATTTCTTTGATTGTACTACCATTTGCTTTGGACTTAAAATCCCTATCGACACCATATCTGATCGTCGTTCTCAACGAAAGTGTCCGGACACGATTGCTACGCCGATTAAAGCTACACAAACAAGTAGTTCCAGCAAGGAATTCCGTCTTACGTAAGTGTATGTATCACTGGATATCGTGGTAAGCTCATGGAAGCTTTTTTTGAATGAGTTAAGTATCGGAAGTTGTCTTCTGAAGATGATAGGAACCCTCTAGAGCATAATGATAACTACAGAGTAGTAGATTAGATACGACAGTACTCTTATAAATGTATGGGAGATTTTCCAGGTCGAGGAATGGCCAGAAGCAGCCCGACTCCGGATAGAATTTTCAGAGTATCGACGGGAGCAACTGCACGATCTACTACTTCACCGGCTCGAAGTTTGTGTGTTAGCAGTATTAGGATTCACGAAAAGTGAAACTTCGTTACTGACAACTTTTTCTGCAATGATGAGGTCTGTAGAGAATAAAGCGAACAATTGTAGAACTCACATCCCATTTTTTCCTATTTTCAGGCAAATTCGCTGTATTTTATACTTCTTTTGCCTCCTCCATGATGCGTAGCATAACTTGATTACCGTAAACATCTTAATTGATACTGTTTATCGAAAAACTATAAATCCACACCCTTTCTGATCAAGCTGGCATTATCACTACACAACTTTAAGTTCAAGAGTTGGCCAGGATGTAGGCCTGTGTCAAAGGGCGCTCTCAGTAGAGAGTTGATCTGTGTCAACCGGGTGTGGTGCAGTAGGATCGAAATGGTCGCGTCGTAGCGAGAGGGATGCCGCGCGCGAAGGAGTATAGAAAATGCAGCAGCAGGTCGGAAATACAAGAACAAAAGAACTGACAATACAGTCATGCCTAAAATAATGATCGCATATCGAATGAGCTGTGTGGAGAACCTTAGAGCGTAATAATTGCGAAGCGAACGGTTCGCGACAGCCGCGTGCGGCGAATCCATCACACAAAACCGATCCTAGATCTGTGTCAACCGGATGCGCTTGATGCTCTTGGGCCTTAACAGCGTCCGCACTGGAGATGTGCTGAGGGTATATACTTTTTCACAATGCTATAATTTCGTCACATTATACATGGTCAAAATAGAACAGACAAATCTATATACCAAAAGTATTGGGAATACTGAATTTTCAAACTAAAAATTCCAACCAAGAAAATATCCGTCGCCGAGCCATATGGTATTGAACGACGACCGGCACAGCCANCCAAATCTGGGTGCAACTGGTAGACGCCCGGGCGTCATTGGATGACGCTGACTCCGAAAGAAGGCACTGATTCCAAATCTACCCTACCGATTTCGTATAAGAACGACACCTACGCCAGAGGAATAAAAACTTTGAAGCCAATTTTTTTTTGATATGCATGTGGAAATGGTTCACGGCCAGACTGCTATGAGGAACTTAACTTTTTCTGTTAAGCCTTTAACGAACACTACTATGAAGTGAATAAAGTACTCGTTGAAGTTAATCATAATGTTGATATCGTTCACTTGGGATCAGCAGACGGCAATCCATGCAGTTATGCCACATGCTTGCCATAAGTGAGGGCTAAGCACCATGTGAGCGACAGATTTGTATATTCTCTAACACCTTGGAAGTATAAAAAGATAATGGCAACGTGAATAGCAAAGTTTGTTCGGAGTTTCCTACAGATCTACTGTAGGTACTGTAAGTAAGAAGAACGCGACGTTGAAGTGATACCTAGTTTGCGCACCGAATGAGGCGACTGCGTGATGATTCTTCTGCCGTATAGTGATGTCGCATTTATCATTGCGAAGGGAGTTCACAAAAATGCAAGCAAAAGACGAATTTGAGATCAAAAAACGACTGGAAGGAAATCCTTCTTTGTAGCGTATCAGTCGTTGTTTTGTTAAAAAAGTAAGTACAATTATTCACTCCGAGGAGCGAGCTCTGCATACAGTGAGGTATTCTACTGGTTCTTTCCAGTGTTCTTCTACTTTCCTGAGTTGTTTTTCAAACGAAGTGACAGGATCACCATTGTCAAGCAACATTTCTTTCAAAATTTGCTTCCATTCATTGAGGAAGCTTTTCTGCTTCTTCAAGAAACAACATCGGCATTTCCTTTCAAATAATTTCAATTAACGAGCTGATAAGGCAAGCGAACGGCTAGCAACAATAATTACACGGTTCTACCCACCTTACCTTGTATTTATGCTAGCAAGTTGCAATTATGAAAAATATTTACCTCCCAGATCCTTCTCGCATCGTACAGCTCTTGAACGTGCCCTGTGGGACTGGGAGCGTCCTTAGAACAGTCACGGCATTAAAAACCTATCCATCTAACCAATCCTACAAGCTATCCATAGCTTCTATCCGAACCTATGAGCTATGCAAAACCTTATGAGAGAGGGTCTGCCTACTTGTTTGACTTCTAGCGAACCTATTCTTACGACAAGGTTGGAAATGATTGTATACTAAGGAGAGGTTAGAATGCTTGATTGCATAATCGGGGACCATAGACTCGTCACGATAGGACACCCCGGAAGCCATTTTTATATCGGAAAGTGCATCTTCGAAAATGGACGTGGCAATGCCCTAATTCAGGTCGCTCTGTTCCTGAAAAATCCTGGGCTTCTCTTCAGATATGATACCCTTACTGTACATTCGTATGGTCTACTGTATTCCGTCAATTATTTTCTATGTGATGGTAATGTGCTGGATATTCAAAGATAGACGTCGACTTTTTGGATCCTTTTTCTATCTGCTGGTCATGCAAGCAGTAACTGTGAGCTTTTTTTCGAAACGAGGTTTTCTACTTTTTGCTTTTTTGGGCTCCATCTAAAATTTACGATTCCACCGTGCCATTGCTAGAATGTTGGTCATTTTTAATCCAACTTTTCCTTCTAGTGCTCGAACTTTTTTTCAGAATTTTATTGTTTTTATCGATAATGTTTACCTTATCCAATTGGCAGATGAAACAGATGAGGAAACGTGGTGGAGGGTCATCTACACTGGATCACCACAAGCTCTTACACGCATTGTGAGTTCTGGCTTTTTCGAAGTATACAGAAAAGACATTTTATTTCCTCCATAAGCGATGAAAAACCTCAGTTTCGTGCTTTTTCTTCATACTGCCGTTTTTCAGTTCGCTTTTATGGGGATACATTTCGCTTTCGTCCAGGCGTATGTGACACTTTTGATTTCAGTCAATCGAATGACCGTTATTGTTTGGTCAGCAAAGGGGGAACAGGTGAGGGTCGAAAAAAAAATACAAGTTCGTCACATTTTTACCCGAAGCAAAAGTCAAAGTCAAAGTCATCAAAAGCAAGGGTCAAAAGAAAAAATAGTAGGCTCATAACACATTTTCGTTTTTAATTTGCAGTGTTGTTTGCAGCTTTGGAATGTTGGCTTGCCTATTTGTGCTTTTGTCTGCTATACTTCGCCTTTTGTCGTCACATATCCATTTTTAACACAAACTGCATCTTGGCATTTTAGCTCAACGTCCCACAGCTATGTCCTTCTATATAATCCGGTGGGTCATAATTGAAGTTAGAAGTTGCAGTTTGAAGTTAGGAATTTAGAAGTTATATACAAGCATACATAAAATAGGTTGATACATAGTTATCGCGGATTTCTCTCGATAAATTTTGAATATTGAATTGGGATTTGACAAAAATAATCTACTTGCTTTCTTTGACAGAAATGTGTCTAGAAGGTCGTCTTCACATTCGCCACATGCTCTATTACTTCGAGGTAGGGTCTCAACGAACTTCTCGGCGATTTAGCAGCCAGCCAAAGCCGAATAAGGAATGGAATCAGCTTTTACATTCGCCTGTTCACCAACAGAACCTCCCATGGATTATCAAGCCAATCGCCCGTTGAAAAATTGGTTAAAGAACAGAACTTTCGACGAAGTGGATGGCTTGATGGCCAACGTCAAGGCGTGATCGTCACCAAGAATTGAAACTTCTTCGCCTGTGCAATCCGACTGCCTAGCAAATGGGAAGCAGTGCTTGACATAGACGGTGGATGTATTCCGAAGTAATTATTTGAACATGTCTTTGCTGAATAGTTCTATGGTTTTTCTGAGTAAAATGAAAAAAATCCGCAATAATTATCCGTCAACCTAATATTACATACATCCATTGAATCAGTCATTCTTTCACGACTTCAAATTCAAAATAACCTGTTTTTTCATTAGGGTGTGTCCGCCATTTGGATGAAGTTATACATATTTGTGTTCGTGATAATCGTAGCAACATCCAGCGTCAATCTCGTCTCTCTAGTCACGCTATTTCTTCATCGAAAACGGACTAACTTTGTCCGTGCTCAACGGAGTATGCTCATATTGGCATTGCTCGACTTTTTAGTTGAAATCGCTGTTTTCGTTCTCATGGTAAGTTGTTTACTGTTCAATAAATTCGGTGATTTACTTCTATTTTCACTATTCACCATCGACTACTTTCATGAGTGGTATGTGCAAATCGACTTGATCATCTCTAGTCAGCTGAAAAAACCGAAGGGAAAAGATTCAGGAACACGCCGTGAATGACCGACATTTAATATATTATGGAAGTAATTGATATGTCTCTCAGCTAAGAGGGAACCATCTGCTGGGGAAAAAGTGGACCCTGACTTTCTAATATGATAGGCAACTGTTGGCTTAGTGCTTCCGTCTAGTCCACCCGCATCTATCACCGCTACTTGTTGGGCAAGTTCAGCGCTCCAGAAACTGCCTTGGTTCATCAACACAGAAAGAATGGCGCCTTTATTCCGGAACAGCTTATTTCAAGTATACTTAAGGGATTAGAAATAGCCCAGTTCGATTCGGGGCACAGTTCTTCAGGATCAACGTCGATTGCCCATTTCCATCCATCAATTTATTGGTTGCAATTCAATTTTTCTAGACAATAGTCTATATGGATCAACCTGATGACGATGACGATGAAAGAATAGCGTTGGCATTAGTACCCTTCGCTATCGACTTGATGACTCTATCGACTCCATATCTGCTCATAGCTTTTAACCAAAGCCTACGAACACGTATGATACACTCTGTACGTTGCCACAGACTAGTACATCCAGTAGCTCGTCTTTCTCGGCCAGTACTTCCTGCAATTGGCTATGCTCAGAGTGAGTTCTGATGTTGTTTTTGTTTTGTTTGCCTTTTTGCCGATGGTTTGTCATTCAGACTGATAGCTTCTCTGGTGCTGACCATGAAGCGATTACGGTTTATGGATTTCGTAAACGACTTTCACCTAGGTCAGTGGGTCTTTTTCTATCAAGGGCAGGCATATCCTTTCCATTGTATTGAGGCAAATATAGGATTCTAACTCAGTAAAATATTTGTTTAAACGGGAGAGGGAAGATGAATGAACGAAGGACGGGCATTTATGGAACATCCATGGACAAAGCAGAGCAGTCAAGCTTCTCTGGATGACGAGCGTTGAAAAGAAGGAGTGCAGTTTCGTAGCAGGCGGATCGGCATACAAACAGAAGATACTGGAGACTAACGGAAAACTTCTTTTTCATAGGTGATTGCCTATTCCTGTACTATTTGTTGTACCCAACTTTCAGCCCGTACAGGTTACAGGAATGCAAGGGCTAAGTAGTAGGCAGTGCACATAGTCCTCTCTTAGCTTTTCCTTCTGGTGATATTCATGGTTTTTCACCAACGTGAATAAAGATCTTGATATTGTTTTCACTACTCCTGTTCCAACTGCCTGCTCCACTCCATCTATCGTTTCTTCCGAGATAAATATTTCCCATATATTACCCATTGTGTCTACTGGGCGTACTGCTAAACCTACCTTATGGTTGACTTGCTGCTTTACTACTAGAAAAAATTTGTTCTCACGTTCTAACCCTTAGTCTATCGCAGCATTTCTTTCAATAGCTCGTTGCATTCGCAGTTAATTTCCGAAGTCTGAAGGACAAATAGAGGATCTTTCGATCGTTGATGTCTAGCAGACTTCAGCAATTTCACCTGCTTTGTCAATTTCACCATTAATACTCCTGACTAACGCTATCATAATCAGTCGCAGCTGTTTACTGCTTCATCAGCTTTTCCACATGGATGCAGATTTGAAAAGAGCAGTCGACCGTCTTCAGTCTCCTTTAACTTGGTGGTCGGTCCAACAGCACTGCTTTCTCAGCAAAAGCGTTGAGCTTCTTCCCCCCCCCCCCCCCCAGCTTTAGCCTGACTACCCTCTTCAATTTGTGTAACTTTCTCAGCTCGGATACCGTTCACCAGCTATGTGGGTATTCGCTTATAACTACTAGAGCTGAAGGATTCTGAATCATTTTTGATTTGGCCCGTATTGCACACAAGGATTCATAAAATTGGAGAGTATTGGGCGAAAATTTGGCTCGGGGCAGGACTCGAACCGGTAACTCTACTCACCGGGGGCACGATGCTCGTTATCCCTTACATCTCATGTGAGCCCACCAGATTGGAATTCGAGTTCTGTCCAAGGCCACGGTTTCGCTTATTCTTCAAGAAAAACTTGAGCTTCAATTTCAGTGCCTTCATTCAAACGTGATGTCCCTCTTTTACATTCGACTAGCCTACTGTATTCCGTCTATCGTCCTTTACATCGTGGTCATTTGGGCAATATCCAAAGAGAAACAGCGACTTTTCGGCTCCTTCTACTCATTACTGGTCATTCAAGCAATTACTGTAAGAAGCATCCCAGAATTTAAATGCAACCAACATCCTTCAGACTTCAGAATCAATATGTTTACCTCCAGAACTTGCTCGTCTATGTTAACAGCTTCTATTTCCTGCAGCTAGCCAACGAAACGGAAGACTATAGATGGTGGGCTGTCATATACACCGAAGCACCCCAGGCTTTGATGCGTATAGTAAGTTACCACAGCGGAGCAGATGATAGTACTCGACAAATAGATCATTGTAACGATTTCAGACATCGTGGTTAGGGATGCATTTTGCTTTTGTACAGACATATATAACGTTTTTTATCTCTCTCAACCGAATGGCTGCCATTGTCTGGCCCAGGATGAACGATCGGGTAAGACCGCTTTGTAGTCGGTACTTAGCCCTGCCAGTAATGGATCGAAGGAGAATACCTAGGCAGTTTCCTCAAAATGAAAACTGAATCGGATTCAATACGTCCTGGCCACTCAGGAATTTATCCGAAATGTAAAAAAAGAGTGTTGATAATGGTTACAGATTTGGAGCGTTGTTGTAGTACTGAGTACGATAATCAGTTATGTTTCGCCCCTTATTGCTACATATCCCTATCTCACTGAGGAAGCATCATTCGTCTACAGTAAGACAATCGAAGGCTACGTTGCTCACTCAAATTCGGTGAGTCTCTTCCTTCACACAGGCAATCTACATGGCTGGTTTTAGAATTTGTCATCGCTTTTGAGTTGTGAACTAATAACCCTTTCCCTTGTCCTTTCATTGAGAGTCTTCTCTTTTCGAAAGATCTTTAGCCAGTTGACAGCGAGGTTTTTTGGCACAACACAGAGGGAGAAAATAAATGGCTGACTGAAAAAAACCGGTCCATGCCCATGTCCCAAGCCCGGTCAGGGAATGAACTCCCTGTCTTTGTTGTGTTAGATCGTTTTGCATCTCCTGCCTCATCGCAGGTGTATCCATGAAGATGTGTAACAAGTGTCTGTGTTGGTATCCTGTGCATCGGCCCGGCAAAAAGTTCGCATTCGAGTAATCGGTAGAAATTCGGAAGGTAATTTGGGGCCTTCTCCAATAGACAAGCCATTTGTGTATTTTGCATGGCCTGATTGGCTAAGCAAAATCTACTCAGCCGCCATGCCGCCTGCTGAGCAACTCTTCAACATCATAAGCCAAAAACCGTGATATTATCTGAATGGACCTCTTCCTCTGAACCTAAGCGAGGCCCCAATACGGTGCACGATCCAAGAATTGGGAGCTCGGTCAGCCATGCTCAGGTAGCCCATTACCCACTAGAAAGAGTCAATGATCAGGTGGGCCGAACGCGTTTTCTGGAAGCGGATGACCGTTGGACAAGGGCAATTGCTGACTGGATCCTTCTGAATCTCATACAAACACCAGGGCGGCCGCCTGCGCCATGGTCTTCTCCACGAAAGCTCTAGGGGAAAAGAATGCTTTGCCCCGGGTTCTTTCAGCGATTCAATGGACCTCTCAGGCGCGCAACAGGGACGAATGTATATCGTACAGGCGGCTGCATGAAAAAATCGATGATCAAACAGGACGACAGGTGATACAGTTGAAATTGTCGAAGAGCATTACCAATTTGCTCCGGAGCATTATTTTGTGATGCTACTTTGGAAAAGTACTCAAGCGTTCAACTTACTGCAGTGAACTCAGGCTTAACCTCAAATTTTCCAGTATT